GGAAAAATGAGCCAATGATGTAATTGTTACAAATAATAACTGGCTATCTAAAAGAAACAAGCTAAGAAGAAGATTCCTGTCTTAATATGATATGACAATCTGCTGAAAAATAAGAAATGTACTGAAATGCAATGTCATTGTCTCTCGCACCATAAAACCAGCGGATAGCTAAATAACAGAAATTTAAAAATAAAATAAAAAATGCATGAAAAAGCACTCACCTGATTAAGCATCCACTTTAAGCCAACTGCAGCTGTGCACTCATTCTTTGAGGCACTACTGAACCAATCTAGATTATAAAGTCTGTCCAAAGTCTCAACGATTGTTGAGGCATTACTTCTCCTAACTTTAACAGAGAAAATCTCCCCATTTGAGCTTATGTTAGTATGATTATTCAATAGCGTCTCAAACCACCCACTACCAGACCTCTGCATCGACAAAATTGCGAAATATCGCACAGGATTGCATGCACATTCAGCCCTATTTATGCACAGAAAAATATATCATTTCATTTTTCAAACAAAACCAAACTTGAAACTACAAGTAAATTAGTAGCATACCGGCTATACGTTATGGGCTTTGGGTAGTGCACATAAGGAACTTCCTCCGGCTCAACATCAGGTCGTGGGCATGGCTTTTGAATCACCTGGACATTTAAAAACCCGGCAACGTTGGTGCGGGTGCTGACTTGCTTTAAACAAATTGAGCAAATATAGACACCACAGACCATTGCAAACAACAAGACAATCATCCTCAGCACCAACGGAGATTTCTTGGGCGCCTTTATAAGAAATATATCCTGTAAACCATGAATTAGGCAATGCAAAATGAAGGGTGAATAGCACATAATAAGAATGACATGGGTGGTAATTAGTCCTAACAAAGGTCCAAACTTTATAAGACGAACTGATCAGCTATCCAAAAGTTCATAAACTTTCAAGTCGAATTGAAGAATAAATGACGTGGGTTTCATTGCAATTATCCAAACAAACGACCAGGGTTCATATATTCATTTGATTAAGCTATTAACACATCTAGTTATTAAGTAATATGACAACTGTATGATTAAGACCCCTCCCTATCAAAACCTAATGAAAAGGAAATCTGGGTTTGCTTCAGCTTGAATACATAGACAAAAAGCATCCGAGAATTCAGGGAATCAAAATGTAAAATATTTCAACACCCAGATCGGGCATTTCACATGCAACCCATAAAAATAATCCACAAATTAAAAAAAGGGTCAGAATCTGATACCCAAATATAATTTTAGAAATACCAAAACTAGAAAGAGGAAAAGACAGAAAACAGTCTTAAATGGGGAAAAAAAATGGTGAGTGAAGAGCTAAAAAGAAAAGCAGGAAACAGCAAACCTTGAAAGAACAGAGATCATCAGCCATTGTATGAAAGCTCAAAAAGAAAGCATTGGGCAACTCAACAAAATGTTCCTCCTCCTCTTCCTCTTCCTCTTCCTCCTTGTGCTTTTAGCTTTGTCGAGCTTTATGCCTCATAATAGCCATTAATTTTGAAAACCCAAAAACAAATGAAAAAATGGAAAAGCAAGAGAGAGAAGTAGAGATAGTTTAATATATATTTGATGGGTTTTAAGCTTTTTCTCGTGAAGAAGAACAGTAGGATTTAGATGCCTCTCTGAGCCCCGTTGCACGCTCTTTTCCCTCTTGCTTTTTGTGTGTGTGTGTGTGTGTTT